CTATAGTTTCTAATTTTCCTATAATGAATACTGCCTATGAAATTAAAAAATTTAGCAACCTTATTGACATTAGAGCTTACCCATTTAAAGTGCCCTCTTCAATGATCTTTTTAGTTTTACACAGATATGTCATCACCACAGTCAATTCTGGATCCTTTTCATCAGCCCCAGAAGAAACACTGTAGCCTTTGGTTATCACTTCCTCCCCCCACCCCAAGTCCAGAGCTTCCCTCCAGCCCTAGGCCACTATTAATCCATTGTGGAGAGTTCATGTAAATGAGATCATGTTTATGTGGTCCTTTGTGACTGGCTACTTACACTAGCATGGTGTTTCCAAGGGTTATCTGTGCTATACTTCATCCATTTTCATGGCTGAATACTATTCCAGTGTATGGTTTTACTTTTTACTCTGGTTTCCATTTGTCAAATGATGAGCATGACTTATATGATTTACAAGACTGCTTAATTTTTTTTTAAAGTATTGAAAGTGAATCAGTCTACATGATACTTGGTTCAAAGTGACTATTTCTGGTTATTTATTTGAAAACTTTTCATCCTGTGATATCATTTTGTTTTCGAATACCAGTTAGATCCAGCTTTTTTTTTTTAATTAAGATTTTTATTTATGTATATATTCAAGAACTGGGGTATAAGCCAGAGGTGTGGGGGATGAGAGGATTCACCAGAAACAGAGTGGGGAGCAGAGCAGGCAGATCTGCTGAAATACACTGCTGAGAGGAGCAGTGGGTGAGACAGGAGAGGTCTGCTGTGCCATATGGGTCAGCTCCCTGGCTGCGGCTTGAACTCAGGCCATAGTGGCTGGTGATATCTTGATAGCAGAAAACCCCTGTGCCACCAGGGAGGCCCTAGACCCTAGGCCCTAGACCCTAGCCTTTTGGGTCAGCCTGTCAGTCAGCATCTTCGGGTACCACCTCTATGCACCAGCCACTGTGCGCCAAGATGCATGGTGAGGTGGGGGCGAGGGTGGTTCCATGTCTTCTTCAGTCTTTGTAGTGGACCTAGATTCTGGGTCCTGGTATTGTGCATTTATTAACGATAGGGAGACTGAGGCTTGGAGAGGTGAACCAGTCTGCCTAGGGAACCCCTAGACCACTGACTTTGGGGCCAGGATGAACCCCAGTATTTAACATTCAGGACAGAACCTGAAATCCCTTCCTAGCCCACATATTTTGGTGTCTTTAAAAGGGAAAGGGGAAATATTGCCTCGAGTGCTCTCCCTGCTACCTTTCATATTTTAGTTTTAAAATAACAGTTGAAATCTGTTCTTTTTAAGACAAATCAATTAAATAAAAACTGGCAGGGTTTCCAGCATATTGATTGTCTTTTTCTACATGTAGAAGACTGCACCTAATTGCTGAAATATAGAAAAATGAGTAATTTAAAATAGAGGAAAATAGCTAGGTAAAGGGGACATTATGGACTAAGTGAGTTTAAAAGGTAAAATAACTGAGAAGGCAGGTATAATAATTTTTGAAATGTCCCCAGAGTGCCAAAATTACCCTCAAAAGTGATCAAGAGAGGAAACCAGTCTACTATAGCCTGGAGAAAAACTTAGTAAGCAGATGAGGCATCTTTAGGAATAAATAAATAAGAAGTAAGCCAAAGCAAAACAATGCAGGACTATATTAGGGCTCATAAGTATAAACAAAAGTTGCCCTAATGCATAGGCACATTTATCAAAATGCTCAGTGTTACTTTTGACATAGGAAACATATCTCATGATCTTTAAAAACCATAGTAAATAAAATGCCTATGGCTGGAAATATTTATTCACTCAGCCACAAACGTTTACCGGGTCTTCCTGGCACTTTCTGGCCACTGGAACAGTAGCAACAGACAAAGCGGGCCACGTCTCTGTCCTTGTGAGGTTCATGTTCTGACCACAAATAAGGGAACAGATAAAAAAAAAAAATCACATCTGCCAAACTCAGTCCCTTTGCCACCCTCACCAAATCACCTTGATGCTGCCCAGCCTGTTCGAAGAGGACCCGAGAGGTCATCTCGTCTGGTGGATTTCAAAGTTTATGTTAGTGGTAGAAGGTCATTTAAATATCATCGTCTGTGGTGAGGGGCTGAGGTGAAGGGGCCCTAAAGACAGTGAACCCAGTGTCCCCAGCACCCTGGCCCATGGTGGAAACATGCCTGCAAAGACCAGAACTGGGGCTGGGGGTGGGGATGAGAAAGCCCCTCTCAAGCTGCGCTACTCATGCAGTGGTTCCATGAGAAGGGTGTGATGCGGTGTCACAGCGGAGAGAACTTGCTGGCCTTCTCTCCCATATTTGCAATTATAGGTGCACACACACACACACACACACACACACACCACAGAAGGGGTGGCCTCCGCGGGTTTTTTCCTGTCAACTACAGCTGATTGGTCTAAAGGAGAAATCTGACAGGCTGGCCCATGTGGCTGGCTGTGCTGGGATTTGGGGTCGGGACGCTGAGGAGCTGAGGCTGGCTCAGTTGGTAGTCAGGCAGGAAAAAAGCAGGTATCTGGACATGACCAAGCACTGGTTTTTTGCAGGCACCTTGAGGAAGGTTTGTAAGCCCTTTGCTGCATTTCCCGAGACTTTCCCCTTGGCTTCTGGGAGATGTTGTTTCAAGGGTTTAAATCAAGCTTCCCTTTACCAGAGGCACGAGTGAGTTTCTGCTCCCTGCGATGCAGTTGCAGCCACACTATTGAAGGCATTAAGAGAATACGGGGAACTAAAGCCACACAAATTTCCTTGTGCGGGGACTCTTCAAAACGGAGCCATGGTTTATGGTGTTTTCCGAACTTATGGGATATGCCTCATGTGTTAGTGTTCTGCAGAGTACTCTTGGGCTTGGTGAGATATAGTCCCCTTGTGAAGAATTAAAGCACAGAGGAGAGCGAGCTTCCCAGGGTCACACAACTGATGAATGGCAGAGAAGGTCCTGGCCCATAAGGCCTCCCAGCGTTCTTCCCAACACCCCCAGTGAATGTACATCTTCCTTGGACAAATGGTGCTTGTGCTGGGATTCCTGGGCTGAAGAGGGTGGTGGGAATACAGGTCCAGGGTAGACACCGGGAAGAGTGGGAATGCAGGTCAGGCCTTAGCGTAAATGCCTCTGACCTCCCTTGCTCCTGGGTGGTGGCCATGGGGGCTGTAGGGGCTGAGGAGCTATTTAGGGCTCCAGGCTGGACCCAGCTGCCCTGGCTGCCTTTGCTAGGTAGCCACAGCACAGCGCCAGCCACCCCAGCCTTCGGGCCTCCCTCCATGCTGCAGACAAACTGAACAAAAAAAAGGAAACTCGGGGCGTCCTGGTCCTCAGCAGGGCCCGCCCAGGCAGCCAGCGCCGGGATGACGCGGGCTGTAAATCACCCATGGACCACAGACCCAGTGCCATCCCCATGGGCTTCCTTTCCGCTTCTTAATCCTCCTCCTCAGACTTGGTAACAAAAAGCAGATTCCTGCTGGGGCCAGGCTCGCACCGCGGGCTCATAGAATGTGAGCCTGGGTCTCACCACATCAAGATGCTCTTCCCTCTCACTTTTCCTTTCCCCCTTCCTAGCCTCTATTAGCTGGAGAACACGCCTCCCCCTGGCCCCGTTCCTCGCCCTCCTTGGTTCCCACTTCCAGCCATGCCCCAAGCTCACGCTGTGGCTGCCAGCCAGTGAGGCCGCCCCAGGCCCGTGAGGCTCACCAGGGCCTGTGGTTAGCCAGCCCTCCAGCCTCGTGGTTTGGCTCAGTCCTGGTTCCCCAAGCCTCTGTTTCGGCAGCAGCTGCTGCTGGTTCCCTCCGTGTGGTAGACTAAACAGCACTGATCTGGGGTACGGTCCAGGCACTGCCAACCTGCAGCGCTTCCTCAGATCCCGCAGTTGTTACCTTCAGGTGGGGCCTGGAGAAAGCTCCCTGGCAGGTTGGAGGTGCCTATTGTGCTTCAGAAACAAATACAGGGTGTTGGTTTAGGGTTGTGGCAAGGGTCAAAAGGGAAGTATTTAGAACCTCTTTCTTAGGAGTGGGCTGTACTGGTTGGGGGGGCTGCCTTAGTTGCCTGTGTGTTAGGGGAGCCCTCAGAGAGCCTCCCCACCAGCTGATCTCCCCTCAGAGTGGGCGTCCCACCAGCCCCATGACCTTTCTCTCCCTCCTGTCCCTTCCATACAGCAAGTTATACCCTGTGGTCGCTTTTCTCATGTGCAACAACAGCAGGGTCAGCAGCCAGAGTGAAGACTCCAAAGGTCAGGACTCTGAGGGACTTAAAGTTGGTCTAGCCTAGCAGTGGTCCAGCCCCTTAGCACCCTGGGATCTCAAGGTGTCCCAGGTTCCACACTGGAGACAATGCAGTAGGACTCTGGGTTCCCCTCTGTCTGTGCTCCCACCTGCACCCCCTATCCCCCTTCTTCAAATAGACCAAAGCCGTGATTACCTGTGCTGTGTTAGGGCTCCAGAAGTCAGGCCTCATTTCTACTGTTAAAAGAACATTTAAAAGTGATTGGCCTGCTCCAGCTGTATCATTTTATAGATGGGGACGCAGAGGCCCAGACAGTTAAGTGGTTTGTCTCAGGTTACCCACTGGCGGGTAGGTGGGCTACAGCTACAGTTGGCCTCTTGACTCCTGGCCTGGTGTTCTTGTCTGAACAGTCTGGGGAAGGGAGCTAGGCCTCAGAAGTGTGACCTTGGCATTGTGGTATCAGCACCTGGCGTGTTCCTGTGCTCCTTCCATGCCCTACAGCCCTATCCATTCCCCCAAACCAGCAAAAATCAGCAGTGGCTGTGAAAGGCAGAGGGTAGTAGACTTGGAAACAGCCAGGCCTGGGTCCAAGTGTCAGCTCCATAGCTACTCATACTCATCAAGGCACAGCCCCCCTTGCCTGGGCCTGGTGAGTCCCTCCCAGGCAGCTGTGAGGGTTGAGAGGGTTGAGAGGTGCTGGGGGTGCTGGCACCCGGTACAAGTTGACTTCTGGAAACAAGTCTGGATGAGAAGGGGCTCTTCTGATAGTTGGTTGTTTCTTTCAGGAGTGACCAGCCAGAGGCTAGACCAAGGACGCTGCTGTGGGCCCTCTTTCCAGTCAAGCCCGAGGAGCAGGTGAGCTCGCCAAGTCCAGCCTCATCTTCTCCAAGATGCCAACCGACGCTCAGACGGCCACTCTCAGGGTCTCAGGAGCACAGCTGCCTCCCTTTCACCTTCCTGCCCTCCACCAGCCTCTCCTCGGCCACTTCGCACTTTGCCCTCTGCCTGGTAGGGAGGGGAGAGCTCAGTCTTCCCCTTGCCTGGGGCCTGCAGAAATTCATTGCCAAAGATTTGACAGAGACATGGAACAAGATGTGGTGGTAAAACTCCACAACGAAAAGCCACACGGTTACTCTGACTTTCGCTCCTATTATTGCATGGGACCCCTCTCAAGCCAAAGTTGAGTCAACGATTTCACTAGGAACCAAGGAAGGAGTGGACATTTGGCGGCCATTGGAAATTCCAGATCCTCTGAGCCAGAACTTTTTCTGCACTGGGGCTTGTGCTGCCTGGGCACAAGACAAGCTGCCTGAGGTCATGAGAGGGAGGTTGGAGTGTTACAGGAAGTACAATATGAGGACCCAGCCCCCTTCTCTTCCGCCCAGTGGTCGCCCAGCCTCTGACCCTGATTGTCAATGTTCTCTGGGCTGGGGCTCCTTCCTGGGTTTGGAGAGTCATGCAAAGGCTATAAGGAGGGAAAAGAAGCAATATTGACCACTCCATACACGTCATAGGGATTCACCCAACCCCTGGTTGGTCCAGTCAGCCCCTCCCAACCAGAGGCCTATCCTCCTGCAGGGCAGTGAGATAGCACCCTGCTTGGAGGTCAGTGGCCTGATACATGTTGTACAGGAGGGCAGAGGGGAAAAAGGGATCTGGGGAATGGCCATCATGTGTGTGTAGCGGGGGAGGCTCCAAGCAAAGGCCGCTCCTTCCTGTGCTCAAAAGGCCAAAGCTGTTCACATCTGTGCTCAACCATCTGCTTCAAATTGAAGTAAAAGCCCCAACATGTAAAGAAAGCACTTGCTTGTGTTGAGTGGACTCTGTGTGTGACCAGGACTTTGGCCAGTTGGCTGGGGGTGGAGGGTGAGCTTGTGGAGGAAAGAAGAGGTTGGTCTCTGCCTAGAGTTGGGGATCCCTTTGGGAAATGGGCATTGTGTGTGTGTGTGTGTGTGTGTGTGTGTGTGTGTGTGTGTGTGTGTAGAGTAAAGGGAACCTCTCCATGGTCTCATCCTAGGCTAGTGACCAGCAGGTCTGGTCAGGAACTCGTAAAGAGCCTTCTCTGCTCCACTCCTCACTTAGTGCATGCCAGTCATTATAAAGTGGCAGTGATGGGGGACCGCATTATAAACCCCTTTTATAAATGAGCTAACTGGGGCTCCAAAGAGACAGGCCCAGCCAGTGACAGAACCAGCTCTCAGGCCAGGATGACCTCACTCCAAATCTTGTATTCTTTACCTCTTTGTAGCCCCTGAGTCCAGTCCAAGCCCAAGTCTTCATGTGGTATTGTCACGTAACTTCATCTAAGACAGAGGCGATGGAGACTCAAGGGGGTTGGGGAGCAAGGGGGTATTAAGTAGGAGCTAAGGTGAGGCTGTTGGGGAGGAAGGGCTGCATGGGAAGGCCGGGCTACCCAGGGATAGGGGAGGTGAGGAGGAAGAAGGCGGAGCCATTGCAGGTTGCATGTCTGTCCCTTGGTTTAGCCGGTGTTGCCCTCCTCTGCTTACTCCTCAGGCTCCTGAGCTGGAGCTGGAGTGTCTGTGGTGAAACTGACTGTGGGAACCTCCTCCTTTGCCCTCGTATTTCCCTTTGCTAAGGTCTGGGTGGTAGGGTGGTCCTGGTTCTGGGGCTGAAGCTGGAAACCCAGTCTTAGCACTCCTCAGAGCAAAGTTGCTCTACAAGCTGGCAGATAAAGTGGGCTTGGAATGGGGACAATTAGGAAGGAGACAGAAGTCACCTGGGACAAAACTCCATTCAGTTGTCCCTCTGAACCTCTGAGTAATCTTAGTGACACTTCCTAGGGAAGCAGGAAATGTGGGCCAACTAGCAACAAGCAGCATCAGAGGACACTTTCTGTTGCTAAAGGGTGGAGGGAGCCCCCATCCTGCATCCCATGGGCTAGACCCATGACTGGCCACCCAGAAACTCCCCATGGCCTCTATTTTCAGCCCTCTCTTGCTCATGGCTTTCATTATATACTTCCTTGGATTCTGAAGTATCGATTGGGCATTGCCTGCATATCAGTGCACTATGCTAGGTACCGGGAATAGAGAAGATAGGTAGTGCCCAACATCGCAAAGCTCATGGGTCTGTAGAGACAATGCAATAATTAATTGGACACAGATAATAGCACTTTGAGAGTTTTGGGTAAAAAAAGAAACAATAACCCTTGGAAGGTATATGGAAGGACTTTCCTAGAAACGGAACTTGTGAGATGGTGTTGAAGGATGAATAGAAGTTTTCTGTGCAGAGGAATGAAAGTAGTCTTTCTATGTGGAGAAATACTCAATTGTAGAGTACTGGAAGCATCCAAGGGGGCTATTAAATGTTTATATAAAAGATATACACCAAATTCCCACCTCTGGAGATTCAGATGTATTGGTTTGATATTTGGGACCAATCCTTGGGCACTGGGGTTTTGAAAATCTCCGTAAGTCTTTCCAATGTACAGGCAAGGTTGAGAGCCTCTGACTCAGGTCTCTGACAAGAATCATTGAGATGGGGTACAGTCTGTGTGAGATATGTCACACACACACTAACATGCACATACATACACACACATCATATTGAAAGTCCATGCTTTTCTTTTCCATATTTCTCTCCAGTAGAACAGCTTATTTGCACACATATCCCACCCCATGCACACATTCTTTCTAGTGTGCACTCACTCATCCAAAAACACACTTGCATACCTTCCTGGGTAAGGGAAATCCATGTCAGAGAGATTCACATTTCATCGGTAGTCTTCCAGACAGTTCTATAGAAGCAGTCATGCTTCAAATAGAAGTCTTTACGAATCCCTCATGGGCCTCGTGAGGCCACTTCCCAGCTGAGGGACTGCAGTCAGTCATCTGAAGATTTATTTTGGGCACACCACCCCCTTGCTTTGGGACACACGCCGTCCTTGTTTGTTGTTTGCTCTGGACCCTGGCCTTCTTGCCAGTGATGATGGCTCATAACCGCTAGTCACAGAGGGACAAAGAGAGCTTCTCGGGCACCTTGGGGCCCTGTGTGCATGTCTGTGTGGGATGACTGCGTGTGTACCTCTGTGTGCATACTGGCTCCTATCGCACACACTTTCCTGTTCCTCGCAGGACTAAACCACAAGGAATGGCGCTGGAGAGCTCCCAGCCCCCAGCCAAGTCTTACAAGACTCTGAAAACTCCACTGCACTGCTTTCCGGTTGTGGCAGATGGTCCCAGTAGAGTTGCTTAAGTTCTGAGGAGGAGGCTTCACAAGTCTTGGGGATTCTTTCTGGGCTCACAGGGTGGTCAAGGCCCCTAGAGGCTCTGTGCTTCCTGCACTGTGCAGTCTCACCAAGGGCTTCCTCCAATGTCCTGTTTCCTTCCCAGACTCCCACTCTCACCCACCTCTCCATTCTCAGGAGCCAGTGAGGAACAGGAATGAGCGGACAGTTGTGGGGACTTGGAACTGGGCAGCATAACCTTGAGTAGAGACTGGCCTGGCGTTTCAGACAGAGCCCCAGCCCTCCAGCCCCCCACCCCAGGGTAAAGATATGGGTGCAGCAAGTCAAGCAAACCCAGGCCTGCGCTTGCTTGGTCCTGTCTGCTTGGGGGCTGGAGCAGGGGCTGTCTTTACCCCTTGTGTTCCATGTTTCTGAGCTACCAATTGGCTGCCAACGGCTTGGATAACAGACTGGCCTTTTCAGAACAAGACACAGACATCTCCAAATGTTTCCTTCACATGGATTTGCATTGTCATTCTCACTCTGATTCCCTCACTGGCACTCCGTTGCTCAGCTAACTTTTGTTTCCAGGCTCCAGGAGCACAGGGAGGTGGGGGTGGCCTGTCTGGGTGGGGTAGGGGTGAGGCTGGAGGAGGGGACAGCTGGCCTCACCTGCTGCTCCACAGGTTTTCACCTTCCCACGCATCGCTCTTTGCCCCTAGGACCCAGACAAGCTATGTCTGCCTTCTTGAAGCCAGGTACCCCAAGGGACATAGATTTATAAATAACAACTTTGTTTTACAGCTATTTGGGCATATGTCTAATCTCCGGAAGGCTCTCTGAATTCCTTGAAGGCAAAGATTGAGTCTAATTCACCTCCAAATCCTCGGAAAGGTTTTGTGAAATGTATATATTGGTTTCTTTGTTGAATGGATGAATAAAAAATGGAAAATATGGTGATTCAACCATTAGTTTTCTTCCTTTCACAAATAACTACCAAAACAGCTCATTTGTTCAAGACTCTGAGAGAATAGGACACAGACCTTTTCAAAGGTCTCAAAGGCTCAAAGGGAGACAGTCCAGAGCAGAGTGGAGCCCGGACCTGGGGCTGTTAGCTCTACACGTGACCGAGCCTTAGAGAACTGCCGTCCTGCAAAGAGGCTTCCTTCCTAGCTCCTGCACAGGGCATGGCATGTACTGGGTGCTAAATAAACATTCATTGAATGTTTGCAGCCCATGCCGCCCCCCCTCCCCCTTATAGCCCTGCTTTAGACATCACCGATCAATGGCGACCCTTTTTCTCAAGGGCCTAAAACTGCCTAAGTTCCTGGCAGTGCTCCAGGGAGTCACTATTAACAACTGAAGAGATGTGGCCTCTGGTCTCCTGGCTCTTCTGAAATCACCTGTGGGAACACCCTCCAGTCAGCTTCCTGGGCCATGACCAAGACATATGACCAAGGGTGGAGCAGGAGGTGGTTTTTCCCCACGGGGCTGTGGGGCCATATCCTGGGTTGGCCCCCCCATCTTTGATCTGTTCCCACTGAACTTTCCTCCTCTATGATTGAAAATGGTTTTTTTTTTTTCTGAAGCTTCTCCCTGGGCCCATCACCTTCAGCCCAAGTCAGCTTTTTATTTCTTCATCAGATGGTCCCATCTCCTCAGTGTCCTCAAGGCCTCCTCAGCATCTGTGAGCCCCAGTTTGGCTGACTAGGGGCACTGGATGAACCTCATCCTGAGGTGTTATCAGACCCTCTTTCTCAGTCACGTCCTCATTTTCTTTCCTCTGGCTGCCCACAAATTAAGATTCTTTCTGGACCCTTGTGTTTGTTGCAATGGAAACAGTTTGTTAAAGCTAGTTTTCTTCTATCTCGAATCCAGCAGCCCCCCATCTCCTGTGCCATTCCCCTCCCCCAACCACACCACCCTGTCCTCTCTGTTCAGAATGTGGGAGCAGAGCCCCTGCCTCTCCCAAATGCAATGACTTGGCGCCCTTCTGTCCTAGGGGCTCATCTTTCCTGCTCACATATGAAAGAAAACATCTCCACCTCCAACCCACCTTCAGAGGAAACCCAATATCTCTCCAGATGTCTAAGGATTCTTGGGGGTCTTATATCCCCATGGCTTCCATCTCTTGAGTCTACCATATTCATTCTTTCTCTCTCTCAAAGGCCTCCTATGGCTGATCCTTTCTCTTACTTTGCCTCAGTTCAAGGAACACAGCCACCCTTCCTCAATTTCCCTAAAACGTTACTCACAGAAACCAGTGTGTATAGAGGAGTTATTTTTCTCTTTCTTTATGCTTTAAAAAAAAAAAAGATTTACTTATTTCTTCATATAGAACTGGGGCACAGGCCAGAGATGCGGAGGGTGAGAGGATTGACCAGAGACAGAGTGGGAAGCAGAACCGGCAGATCGACGAAGTACACTGCTGAGGGGAGCAGCGGGCGGGTCAGGAGAGGTCTGCCACGCCATGTGGTCACCTCCGGGGCAGGCGGGGATCGAACTCATGTGCTTTAACCCGCTGTGCCACCAGGGAGGGCCTTTTGGTGATTTTTTTTAATGTTTACTCCCCTCCCCCCAAAAAGCCAAACAAGACGTTGCTTTTTTCTTCCCAATTCATTTAGCTGATTTTATGTATTTCTGACAGGTTTGTCATGTTTCCGGCAGTTATAAATATTTCCCCTCTGTCTTCACTCCCTAACACTACATTTTTGGGCTGTGACTCACCCAAAGTTGTCCCACAGCTGGGGCTTGAATCCAGTTTTTTTTCCTTTAATTTAACATCACCCTACCCGAACCCAGGTCACCACTGACCCCAGGTCTGAAAGAAAATAAAAAATGCGGTACCCAGTATAGAGTTCACAGGAAACTATGGCAGTGGGTCCAGGTGCTCAGCCATGCTCAGCTAAGCAGGAGTCCAGGGTCTGACACCTACACAAACACGGGCCCAACCGCATTCCTCTCCCAGCCTTTCCCATAACTGAAGCTTGTCCAAGGGCCCTGGACAGGGAGCATGGCGTGGATTAGGGGACAGGACAGCCTACCCCCTCCTCCAAGAGGCAGGCAGATCCTTGAACTTCGCTCTGTGCCAAACCCATACCCCAAACCACCTTCAAGTCCATCTGGCCCCCAGACAACATGCGCTCATCCTGGGATTTCATTTTCAGCTCTACAAACAGAAGTTTCTAGAGAATTTTCCTCTTGCACGCACACACATGCATGCAACACACACAATTTTTTTTTTTCTTAAGAACTCAAAATGCTTCCAAGTCCCAGGAAAGAAAATTCCATTTTTGGAGAAGAAAATAGAAAAAATAAGCAAGTTTTTGGGTACACTTTGGGATCATTATGCTGACCTTTATTTTCCAAAGAAAAATTAGAGCAAGAGGTTTGACAAAGATTTTAGTGTCTCTTCGATGGGAAAGACAGCCCAGGAATTCCAATGATACAATTTGAGGAATGACCTGAACTTACTTGGGCACTTATTCGTTAAACATTTATTGTGATAATAATTATTATTTTTATCATTATTATTTATTATTTTTTTCACTTTAAGTGTATCATCATCTATCAACACCCCAAACTTTTTTATCATCCCCAACAAGAACTCCCCATTAAACAATAGCTACCCCCCAACTCTTCCAGCTCCCAGTAGCCTTTATCTACTGTTTGTCTCAATGAATGTGCCTTCTCATATAAATAGAGTCATACACTATTGTCTATCTCTGTTGGCTTCTTTCGCTTAGCATAATGTTTCAAGCACCAGAACATCTTTCCTGCCTGTGACTGTGTGACGCTGGGTTGGGTGTATGCACTACATTTCGTCAGTCCATTCATCGCTAGATGGGGCACTTATTCTTTATTGCATGAACCCATCTTCATGGGGCACCAAGGGGGACTCCCTGCAACACATCGGGGGGGGGGGCTGCTGAAGTATGGAGCCACTAGGTTGCAAGGTTTTAGGTAACTC